CCCACACAGCCAAGCTCCAGTGACCACCAGGGAGAAGCCACTTTTTCAAAGGCACCGAGTGCCCAGCAGACCAGAATGCCCCTTGTGCGGTGCCTTCCCCAATTACATGCAGCCCAACATCTCTGCGCAGCCCCAGTGCTCAGGGATCTGCTGTATGCATGGTATTTCCATGGCAGTGGCAGCAGGAGCTGGTAACGGTCCCTTTGTTGCTGAGCGTGGCACCTATGACCACTCCCCAGTGCCCTCTTCTGCTGTTTGCTGGGACTGGTAGTCTGTGGTGGGCTCAGGCTGGCAGCAAGGGCACAAGGACTCGCCAGGGTACTCTGGGCATGCAGCCATCATTATTGGCTACAGTAACCAAAAAAAGGCTGATAGCCAGTAACAGGCAGACAAGGTTCTTTGGGTAAATCCAATACCTTTTATCAACTCAAGTAGTTGGAAAAATTCTATGCAAGCTTTCAGGTACAAATACCAACCAGTAACATCATTTTTCCTTTTGGCTGCCAGATTACCACTAATAACTGATATATTGGTGCACCCCTACCCAGTTCATTCAAATCCATCTACCTGCATTCTTCCCAATCCAACTTGAGCCCCTTTTTCATATTGAGCATTAGTATTGCGGTATCAGCAGTGCTGCTTGCTTGTAGCCTAAAAGTGATTTGTAACCAGTTTTGGCCTAGTAAAACCAAATTACTTATGGGAAGTTTGACTCCTAAGTCCCAGAACTCCAGTAAGAATCCAGCCAAGGTAATGAGAAATCCCGGAAGGCACTGAGCCTAGCAGTAGAACATTTGTATCTCCCCAGAATGCAGAAAGCTCATATTTGAGAAGCTCAGGTGAGGCAGATGCAAAGACTTTCAAAAGTTTATCTTAAATTGGCATAAAAAAGAAAGGTGAATGCCTAAATCTTATGAAAACAAATGATATCTGTAAGAAAAAAGTACAACGTTCCAATATAGAGAAAATTCAAAGGCACCCAGTAGGGGGAGCTGGTATCTTCTGTGTTTGAAATGTAGAGGTTTAGTAACCAAAGGCTTAATTAAGCTCTCCAGAAAGATTTCCCAGTAGTATTAATTACTCTACTACTTAAGGGTTTTAAGAGGTTAGAATAATTTGTTCTAATAATTAGACCTGGTATCCATTTCTAGCAAAATCACAGAATTAGAGAAAAACCTGTCTCTACAGTGGTTTTGCACACAGTAGGATGCACTCTTGTTACCTTTATTGGTAGAAAAATCTTTAAATTAGAGGGAAGGAAAGGGTAAGCAGCCATAAAATTGAGTTAAATAGTAATCCAGCTATAACTGCCTTGCAGATTTTAGAATAAACTTTTAATTCTGGTGAATGTTAAGATCCTGCTTCTATTTGTTGTTCAGTTTCATTCATGGAGTTCTCAGTTTCAGAATTAATTTGATAAACCTTTTTGCCATCAGTCATATTTGGATGGGTAAAATGAATTAAAAGATTTAAAAAAAGAAGACAAACTAGAAAACATTGAAGTTACACAGTGAAAGCAAAGAACTGAGCGGTGTGAGAATTCATTGAATGATAGAACAGAAAAGGAAATATTATCACCGGTAGCTAGCTGTCTGGACTTGATAAAACCACATCCACTTTCACCAGCACAGGAGCTTGGACACAAGAATATTTGCAGAATACATTTAATCTAATTGCATAGTCTCCTGTTTCTCCCTCTATCCCTTGATGTGTATCAGGCTTTATCTAAGGGAGGAAGTTTGGGCAGTTTAACTTAACCAGATTTTAAACTGGTCTGAACTTCTATATAGGTATACTTGCTTTTAATTTGAGTGGCTTTTGGTTTAGCTTGTACTTATTTCTAGTTAATTGTGTGATAATTATTTTGTATATGTTGCTGGTCTAAATTTACTGCGTGATTAACCAGTAAATTGCATAATATATGAAGTGTGTAGCAGAGACCTTAGTGACTGCCAAAGGTTCTAATATGGAACAGTGCTTGCCAGTGGAGCTGACTGCTAGGGTAGTGCAGCACAATACTTCCACACCAAGATATAGTATTTTAGCCCCTGACACAGCCTTATGGTTCTTGAATGCTCAGTAATCACCTAAAGAGTCTTTGAATACCAGATTGCCTTTTTCACATCGTTTGTAAGCAGGATTTATTTTTTGAAAATAAATAAAAATGTTCATGGTTTTGGACGATTTCTAAAGTTTGTTCAAAGCTCTGTATGATTTATCTCCTTTTCAACCATAACAGAAGGTAAGACAACAGAGTGACTCCTGAAACACTTAGCCAGACCTCCACTAAGGTTAATTTTCTGTATACAACTAGTTTTGGTACGTTTGTTTATTCATTTATTTAACCAGTGATGGAATGAGTCCTCTCACCAAGTATGACCTGTTTTTTTTGTGTGAGGGAGAATATTCTGCACTTGTTAAATTGTTGAAATATAGTCTCTGTGTTAAATTATGGCTACACAAATACAGTTGCTGTGAGACTATATCAAGACCAAAGCCTAGAACTGCCTGGAGGTATGTCTGTTCAAACTAGTAGCAATCCTACTTGGCGATCAATTGACTCTTGGTCCAATAAGTCAATTAGGCTCTTTTTTCAGAAAGTTTGGGCACTTCATAAGCAGATGAGGTGATTTTTACAGTTAAAAAACCAAACAAACCAACCCTGTGTTTTTCCTAGTTCAAATTTCAGGACTAAAGTCTTGTAGTTTTATACCTGTATATTGGTAGGTATCAAAATGGGGATCTTTTTTAGACTGCTTTGTCTCTTTTATGTAAGGTATTTCTTCTCTGTAGGAAAAAAAAACAGTATAGGACCAGGAGTGACATTTTATATCTCCTAATTCGCTTAAGGGTATGTCTGATTTTTTTTCCCTCTAAAGACCTTGTTCACTTATTTGAAGATTGATCTTTCATCTTAGATCTAGAAATGCTCAAATTTATGGTAGTCAAAATCATATGCCAATAGTGTGGCAGACCTATCTTATTCTGCTATAGTTGCACTAGCAACACTGTTAGAAAATGTTTGCCAGGTGTAGGTAAACACCAGTATGCTCTTGATCAGCCTTCTGTGTTCAGTAAGTCTATTAAAGGCTTTGGTCTAATATATTTTTCCAGTTAATCTTTCAGTGATCTATGCAAAATTACATTTTATTTGGCTATATTAAGTACAAAATGATAAATGCTAATACATGTTCAATTTCACATTGAAATAGTATTCTTTAGAAAGAACTAGAAAAGGGCTTCCTTTAATTTTGTTTGCATACTGACTGTGCTTGGTGCTGTACAAACAAAATGTTTCCAATGTAGGAAGCATACAATTTAAATTACATGGAGCTTTAATAAGCAAAGTACGGACTGAAAGGCAAAGCATTAAGTGGTTTAGAATTTGTTTTTGTAAACATAATGGCAGGCATAATGTTGAAAGAATTAATGAGCCCCTCTGATTTTGATGAAATCTGCCATGAAATTGGGTCTGCCCTAGGTTGTAATTACAGGGTCTGGACTTAGAATTTTGAGGAGACAGAAACGTACAAGGAAAGGGTAGAGCTGCATACATAAATAATATGAAAGGTTGCAAAAAGATGACTGAAAGAATAAAAAAATCTTTGTTCATGATGTTTTTCTTGTAGGTTCAGGTTTGTGCCCTTAGTATGGGAATATTGTCAGTATCTAAAGATTCTGCTACAAGGGATTTCTCAAAAATAATCCTTTACCTGACCTTGAGTTCAAATGTAGTTTCTTGTTTGGAGTCCGTCAAAAGTTGCATTCCTTTCAAAGCCCAATTAGTGTTGGGCAGTCAGATTCCTGACCTCCAATCGGTGACCTAGCCATACAAATGGACAAACATTTGGATAAATGTTAAGTAAAATTTGTTGGTGTCTCTTTGATAGGGCCACAAAGTGCATCCTGTCTTACTGGAATAACAGAACGGGGCCTTCTGAAAGAGACTGGTTGAAAAGCCTTGATGTGTATGCTCCTTTGGAAAAGAGAACGTACAGAATTAGAGGGGTACCTAAAATGCTTGACAAGGTTAGGATTGCATAAATATGTTTTAACTGATAACGGTAATTGTATTGTTTTGGATCAAATAACATAAAATAGGTCTGTTAAAGGCTGCTGGAAACTGTAACGAAAAACAATCTAAAACTAAAAATATACCTGTTGATTTGGGGACCCTTTCCTCCTGTTCGGGGTCTCTTGGAATGGGAGAGGAATAATATCCAGATAAATGGATTAATGTATGTATATGTGGCTAAAATTATGTAACTTTGAAGGGTTGTGACAAAATTTGGATATCACAACATCAAAAGTTTAACAAGAATATAGTTTGTAGAAATGGTGTGCTTTGTAAATCGTAGAAAATGGGGATGGAAGGGATATTAAGAGGTTATCTCGTCCAGTGGTTCTCAACCTGTTTTGTACCAGGACTTGCTTGTAAACATGGATGGCCAGTCCCAGCCTAGTGCCCCTCGCTCCAGACCTGCTGTCCCCCGCATCCAGGCCTCAGTCCCAGATTGTGTGGGGGTGTGGGGTATGGGGGTCCCCAAGCAGCCCCTTGCAGGCTGGAACTCTGCTAGCCTGCAAGGGAAAAGCCATGGTTTCCCATGTTTTTCTTCTTTAAAGGAGAAGCTGTTTTTAAAGTTTGTTCATGATCCTTTCATATATTCTTGCAAACCAGTCTTGAGTCACAACCCACAGATTGAGAAACACTGATCTAATCCATCCCCCTGTACAAATGGAAACTGATTGCTTCTGTTTTGATTTTCGTGTCCATTGATCAATTCTGAGAGACTTTCAGAGGTTAAGTAATTTAAAAAATTTACCTGAAAACTGGCTAGCTCCATTGCTTTGTCTTGTGCCCTAACGGCCAATTTTTGTCTGTCATGTAACGCTGCTGAAATCAGCAGTTATGCAAGGGTGAATTTTGCCTCATCTTTCAAGAAAGATTGCCAATTGAATTAAGACACTTTGAAAAGCTTTTATGGCTTTGATATGGGCTAAAAGCTGCTGGGATGGAACAGAAACTATCAAGTGCATTACACTTTAATATTATTTCATTTGATTAGTCACTCTTACACTTATTTGAATAACAAATTTATTTGGATTAAGGATTTTTAGTTTTCATAATTTTGCTTAAGCCAATTTTATCTCTAAATGGAGTACAAAACAGTGAGATTTATTGCTTCAGTGTTACAAAATTAAACATGGAAGTTATAAATCAGCTTACTTCATACAAGTTCATTTCAATGAACAAGCATAGTTTGCCAGAGGTCTTAGAACATGGTCATTAACAAGTCCAGATGACATAGGATTTTAATATTTTAGATCTTAATAGCATGACACTTACCTTTTTTGGTAGCAAAAAGGCCTTGAACTTAGGGAAGGAGAGAGAAATTACACAATTAATACTGTTTGAATTATGAAATAGGAAATAGCAACCTTGCAGTTCCTAAAAAGAAGCCACAAAACGGCAAAGAGAATGTGTTTTTATAATACAAAATTACACAGCTTAGTTTCACTTCAGTGTGATGATGGCCATCTATGTATAAACAAGCTTCTCATAGTACACATCTCTGAGGTCATTCTGAATAATGGCAGCCATTCATACCTCCTCAATAATTATTTGTTAAAAGTATCTCAGTACATATTTTCATCAAACTGCCTTGCATTGCTTTAAATTCAGCTCAATATCTGTCCTTTCTATGATTTTTAAGAGACATATACTTTATCAAAACAATAAAGGATAATATTAGCCCAATTGCTTTAGCTTACATTGAATTCTGTATTGTAAAACAGGCCATCACTGGATACATTACAGAATGCAGCTGTTGCTAATGACGTATACCTGATTCAGAGCTGTGCCTTTTGCAGTAAAACCAGATAAAGATTTGTTCATTTCAGCTGTAGCTTTTGCTAAAGTCTAGTCAGCAGTAGTTCTGTTTTACGGTGTAAGGAGACCTGCAAATGAAATGCTGAAAAATATGTAGGCAAACTCACAGTATTTCACTGACTGAGGTGGTTTTTAACCTTGGTTATCACTACTGAAAAGAAATCTCTGTGAGAGAAAAAAAGTGCTTAGTATTTTTGTCAGATTCTGCTTCCCATTTATCTAGAAGTGTGAGAGAGTCTACAAGTATTGTGGCACAGAAAATTTAAGCTTAGTAATGAAGTAGGTGTCTGTGTAGTATGGTCACCTGTTTCCACAGTACAGATGTTCATGGAATGCTGAAATATGATGGGAAGTACATTTTAATATGTTAAATTAAGAATTTGGTTTCTGGCCTATACCATAAATGAGTTAAACAACTAAAGGATAAGCCATATGGAAGTACACTTTTTGCTTCTGACCCACATCAGTCCAAGGTTTGTTGCATGTTAGAGGCAGTAGCAACATAAGGCATACCTGTGCTTTAGGGCTGTGCAAAGCTTCAGTCTTTGATTCAATTCGGCCTGATTAGGTGGCCGAATCTCCAGATCAAATCGGAACCCTCCAGATTGATTTGGAAAAATTAGATGATTCAGACATAGACACAGCTTGAAACATTTTTTTTTTTTTTTTACATACCTCAAGGTACCAGGCAGCTGGTGAATGCTGAGATGTTGGGGTGCATGGAGCATCCCATGGGAGCATGGGGGGGTCCCCAGTATGCTCAGCAGCAGACCCAGAATTGGTCTGATCCACTTCTGGGACAGCTGGGGAGCATGCGAGGGACGCCAGCTTGGCAACTGGTGCTTCCTGGGCCTGGGGGGGCACCTGGGGTCCCCCTGCAGCTGATTGCCAAGCCAGGGGAGGTGGGGGGGGCTCCCTGCACACTTCCTGGTGGGCCCAGAAGTGGACTGGACGTACTTTTGGTCCACTTCTGGGTTTGTCACTGAGCTTGCGGGGGGCACCACCCCATGCTCCTGTGGGACGCTCCATCCCCCCCACCATCGCAGAGTTCATAAGCCATGCCTGGTACCTCGAGGTATGTAAAAAAAACCAAACAAACAAAAAAAAAACCCAAAAAAAACCATTTAAAGCTGTGCCTATGGCCGAATCACTGATTCTCTGAATCAGCATTGAATCTTCAGGTTCAGATTATGCCAGATTGAATTGGGGCAGTGATCCGGATCAAATCACTGTCCCCGATTCGGACCGAATCCGAATCAAATACAGCGCATTTCACGTACCCCTAGTGTGCTCTAACGCGTTCTGATTAGAACATGCCAGAGCAGACTTGATTAAGCGAGTCTGCTTGAGCATTCTAATTAGAACACTTCAGCATGCCTCAGCATCTCATGTATTCAGTGTCCTACATTTCAAAATGGCAGGGGGGACACTTTAAACTCGTCAAACAACCTTTAGTTAAAGAGCCCCTATGGCCATTTTGAAACATGGGACACTGAATACGTGAGATGCTGAAGTGTTTTAATTAGAGCAGTTCCTGTGAGGCTCTCTAGTTAAATCCCTCCCTCCCACCCCGCAGCACGTGTATAGGCACCCATACTGACTGAATTTATGCCACAGACAGTAGGTGCTCAAGGTTGCTCTGAACTGGGCTTAAGAAAATAAATCAAACAGTTGGCAAGATGCATAGCAAACGGTTTTAAGCAGAGGTGGAGAACTGTTTTTCTCTCTCTCTCTCTCTCTCTCTCTCAATTCCAGGAGTCCTCTTGTAGGCTCCAATTCAGGAAAATACTAATGTTCTCTTCTTGAATTGAGGGTGTTTTGCTTAACCAAGGCCATAGTGACCTCTGGGCAAGAGTAAATCTTCTTACTTTGATGGTAAATATGGAAAAGGAAGCAACCAGAAAAGCAAGTGTTGTATTCAAAACAGTCCATAAGCTTAAGTATATGTGAAATGCATCTAAAAGATGTACATTATCTGTTAGTGAATGAGCTTTTCTATTTAGAAGAGAGGAAAATTCTAGTTCCAGATGAGGGAAAGGTAAGTAAACCAGTTCCGCTTCAGTATTAAATTTTAAAGTCAAATAAATTAAGACATTGATAGTTGGTCAAAATCATTTGAAAATTAAGAATTAGGAAAAGCTAATTAAGTGTTTAGCTAACTGAATTATCTTAATGACTGGCCATACCTGATCTTGTTGAAGGATGTGCAGTCAGCTGGGTTACTCTGTAAAGCTTAGACTACCTAGGTTTCATATTCAATATCACTAACTTAAGTGTAGATAGACAACCAGTGGTGGTTGAAAACAAGAAATATATACTGCTAATTGGCTGCTATTATGCTTTTGGGACTTATGCCTCAGAGAAGAATTTCAGTTTCTTTTGTAACACCTAGGAAAGAAGAAAAGCTTATGAAGCTTGCTTTTTATGTTAGTCTATTTTATGAGGGTCTTGGTAGGACTCGATTCAGGGAAGAACTGAGAGTTTTTAATGCTTTTTTGAACTCTCACATTTTGGCCTATGACAATACAACAGAGTATGGGGTAGACTGATGTATTACAGGACTCTTGGGAAGGATTTTTTTGTAATTTCTGATTATTTAAAACCCTTTCTTTTCTGGCATTGCGAGTTGCTCACCTATGAAGTAACAGCGTTGTCATTGTATCTTTGAACTCCCATAGGTGTTCTCGTTTTGTGCATGTTTGGAGTACTGTGTCCAGTTGGGGGGTGGGGCACTATAGAAAGGATGTGGACAAGTTGAAGAGAGTACAGTGGAGAGCAGTGAAAATGGTGAGGGGGCTGGGGCACATGATTTATGAGGAGAGGCTGATGGAACCTGGCTTATTTAGTTTGGAGAAGAGAAGACTGAAGGGGCAACCCCTGCCACAGCTCTACTCCTTTTCACCCCCACCCCCCAATCTGCTCTCCCCTCCCTTCCCCGCCCTCCAGCCTCCAACAGATTTACCAGTTGGACACTATTCTCCAAGCTGCCAGGCTGCATATTGGCAATCGGACCAGTATTGGCCAATATGGCTCATTAATAATCAGCCGTCAGTATCGGCCCAAAAAATCTGTATCGGTGCACCCCATGTCCTGCTTTGATTAGAGGGTTGGACTAGATGACCTGCCAAGGTGCCTTCCAACTCTAATTTTCTATGATTCTATATTTGCTTAGAGAAATTATTCATATTTGGCCTCCACTGTGAATTTCTCATGGCAGCAATGCAGTGTTGTGATTGAACAGACCTATTTTAGCATCATAGATATCAATGACGATATACAAGATATCTAGTATTTCTTATAGAGGGTTGGCATGTTCTGAAGTTTTAAGTCATTGAGCACCCATTTGAAGCAATCTGATAAACTAAACATAATGCATGTAGTTCTATAATGTTCTTTTTTTCCTTCCACAAGCTCTCTTCTCCTCCCTCATCCTTCATATGAATTTGTTCACATGCACATGTTGTTTCTCCATAGAATATTTGGTCTTAAGTTAGTTTTCCATGATCTGGTTTTTGTTTCCTGTTATGCTCCTAAGTATGTTCTTGAGTGCTTTGCTAAGATTCTGCTTTATTTTAAACTTGTAAAAAAGGTGCAGTTGTTTTTGTTCCAGGTTGGAATTGAAAGTAGAAATTGCTCTACTATATTTGAGCCCTTTTTTTGCAATCAATACTGTAGATGAATTCCTGTACTTGGGAAGAAACTCACTGGGTTGTGTAGGACTGTGTCCACATGGAATCATAAGCAGGCTTCAATTCTTTAGTTTGAATATGTGCAGTATATTTTTCTTATTCTTGCACCCACATATTTTGAGATTCAAAACAAGTTATACCAAAGGAAAGGAGAAGGAGGTTCATCATTTTCATCTTTGATTTTAGCAATGTTTAATTCTTTCATCTTGTTAAAAAATGATTCTTTGCAAGCACCTGTTAAGGAATGACAAAGTAGGCTCTTGTTCAGATGCTCGTATCTAGTGAAGTTCAAACAATCATCAAAACTTCCGATATTTTATCTCCATCTAGAGGTCGGAATAACTAGCTGATCCTTCAGATTTTTTTTCATTTAGATAGCCTGGTAAATTAGTCCAGTGTTACCCCAATCCATTAAAAATTGCATCATCCAAGTGAGAATAACTCCTTTCCCCCTAATTTTATTTCCTTCAAATGTTGGAATGAACAGAGGGCTTTTCTGCTGTAGTCCTAATGAGATTGTTTAGCAAACATCCTTTTATAAGTTTGAGAGAACATCCTTTGTGAAGTTTGCCCATGAGTTTCTAACGTCCATACTACAGAGACTGGTGTTTGGCAATATTTTATTGGCTTGTTTCTAAAAATAGAAGTTACTCTTATGCCAGAAATGAATACCACTTGACATGGCATGTTACAGAGTTAAAATACTAGTAATATTAAAATTATGCTGTATGTTGCTTGAAATCACATAAATGCCTCCCACATAGTCTTTTAGCTAGACATTATAGCATTGCCTCCCGGCAGTAGTAATTAGGAGCAGGTTGTTTTAAGCTGTTTTTCTGTTTATTTTCATATGGTTTTGCCAAAATGCAGAAAACTGACCTTTTAGATTGAGATCATTTTGTTTGAGTATATTGTTGTTACACCTGCAAAATGTAAAGTAAGCTCAATAAAGGAACATATTTGTAATGCATACATTCTTAAAAGTGCACGGTATCTGTAGTGTGGTAAGAATTCAAATGGAGATGAACTTGTGGTCTTCATTTAAAATAGTTTCAACTTACCTCCTGTGCTTTTTCCATCTAGAATGAAGGCAAATGCAAAAATGGCTTGTCCAAGGAGTTTTAAAAGGTGTAGACCTCCTGATTGAAGATTTTTTGTTTTATTTTATTCCATTTCACTAGTTAAAGTGAGTATGAACACCTCTAACTACAAATATTTAATATTTATTTGTACTTGGTTTACAAAATATACTCTAAACTCTTAACTATTTCTGTTATAACTAGTAGATGGTATATAGTAGATTATCTAACCAGCTAATTTATGATGACTATTACATTTTGTGAATGGAAAAGTAAGCAAGCACATTCAAGTATAATTTGCTCCAAACTTAGTTCCCTTCATGTACAATGTTTGTTTATGGTGATATTCACCATACTAGCTAAATGTTCCATAGTTTCATAAACTATGCTAAGTGTCAGTAAGCCTACATTTGTCTCACAATTCTGCTCCTTCCTTTATTGCTGAGTAAAGGCAAAAGATTACTTTGTGAGAAATGGTATCCACAAAGTTCCAACAATTAAGGTTGTGCTGTGTTTCCATTCCAAGTGATGCATTCTCTTTTTCTCAGATGACCAAAATTTCATGCAACAGTATTGATAAGGAAGTCAGACAATTCTGCTATTTTTTAAAGACATAAATTCTCTCCTTTACTAATTGGATGTAAGAATTTGGCAGCAGTAATAATTTAGGGCATTAGAAAACTGAACTACAAGAGCAGTTAACAATTTATTCTTTGATTCTTGTGTTCTTCTTTCCAGAAGAAGAAATGTAACTCATACTATTGTTTTGTATTTAAATTACACAATAAATGAGCAGCTTTTGTTATTTCCAGTAAGAGTTTCCTTATCTTCTATGTTTTTAAGGCTGTTCTTTTCTCAAAGCAATAGAAAATCTACTGATTTTTGAATGGGTTTCTTTTAATCTCTGGTATACTTGAGTAATACAGCATCCTCTTGTTTATAATGTTCCTATTGTAACTTGTCTCTGCAGTGAAGTCCTCTTTCTTCATTAAAATAGAAATGTTCTCAGACTGGATGTTGGATTGTCAGTAGTGAAGCCTTTCTTAATTATATTTAAGGTCAGATCCTGCTCCACCTATTACCTACCTAAATGGATTCTGTTCTACCCTCAGAGTCCCTTAAAATTCAATAAAGCAGCTGTATTTTGTAATAAGCTGCTATCTTATCTTTCAGAGTAAATCACACAACAGCAGCCAAGAGGAAGACAACCTACTCATCTTTTGTATTAACAGTTTATCAGGAATTTGATCAGGGTGAAATAGGGCTCCTACATACACGCAGGGTGGCTCCTCCAACACACTGGAAATCCAGCACGTTGGAGCGGACTCAGTCTGCTGGAGCACGGAAATTGGCACCCTTTGGCAGCCTCGCTCATCACGTGCGTCAGCTTCGCTGCTCATCTCTGGACTGACAAAATGGCAGCAGGGCACTTTGGACTAAAGCTCATCAGACACGTTTTATTTCAAAGCCCCCTGCTGCCATTTTTTCAGCGTAGGGACACGTGGTAATGCTGATACACAACATGGGGGCACTTTTTAATGAGCATGGCTCACTAATTAAAGCGCTCGGTGCTGCATCCAGAAACACATGTAAAAATGCCCTCTGATGCCTGACAAGTGGAGTAGAATCTGACTCTTGACATTTATAAATTCCTGTGTGTATTAATCTGGGTATTCTTAGTATTCTTGAGTTACACACATCTAAATCTGCTATCCCACAGGGGAAGAAATAGTAATGGTGAAATCAAAAGAAATTATGATCGAATGAAGCATTTAGAGTTTAATGTCTGAAATCAATTAACTATTTGTGTGGCTACCCTCGGTGGTAAAGTTTGGTTGATAAGTAACATGTGCTTTTGGGGAGCCAGACTCATAAGCCTGTACCATTTAAAATCATTTCGAAGCTTCACATGATTTCAGTGGACACTCAATCAGGCCCTAAATAACTTTCCTAAAGTTATATGACAAATTGTTGGATAGGACTAGGTCTCAGGAATTCCATGAGACCAGTGCTCTATATGTTTAAGGAGTTGCTTTGCTTTAATAATATTTTCAACATTTTCTAAGGTTCTCTTTCTCTCTTTTTTTTTTCCCTCCAGTTGCTGCTGTTCTACAGGTGAAAGACATGATTACATTAACAGAACTCAAATATTTAGCAGATGCCCAGTCATCCTACCACATATTAAAACCATGGTGGGATGTCTTCTGGTATTACCTCACTATGATAATGCTGCTAGTTGCTGTACTAGCTGGGGCCCTCCAGCTCACTCAAACCAGATTGTTGTGTTGTCTTCCTTGCAAGCTAGAATTTGACAATCATTGCGCAGTGCCTTGGGATTTGGTTAAAACCAACCTTAACATGTCCTCTAGCTCCGCAGCGCAAATAATCGCCCCTCCTAAAATCCAGACTGATCTTCACCGGCAGCAGTATTCCTACATTGATGCAGTGTGTTATGAGAGACAGCTTCACTGGTTTGCCAAATTCTTCCCATATGTAGTGCTTCTGCATACTTTCATATTTGCAGCTTGCAGTAACTTCTGGCTTTACTACCCTAGCACAAGTTCAAGGCTTGAGCACTTTGTGGCCATCCTTCACAAGTGTTTTGATTCTCCATGGACAACCCGTGCCCTCTCAGAAACTGTTGCTGAGCAGTCTGCGAGGAATCTGCCACTATCCAAATCCAAAATACTGCTTTCATCACCTGGGAGTTCAGAAGCACGGGGAAGCAGGCAGTCTGTACCCTATACACAGCCTGGCTTAGAACCAGCTGGAAGAGAGAGTTCCTCAAGTGTTCTAGACAAAAAAGAAGGGGAACAGGCTAAAGCTATATTTGAAAAAGTGAAGAAATTCAGAGTTCATGTTGAAGAAAAGGATGTCATATATACAGTGTACATGAAGCAGATTATAGTAAAAGTAATTGTATTTGTAATGATAATGATTTATGTCCCCTATTATTTTACCTTTATTACACTTGAAATTGATTGTGTCATCAATATTCAAGCCTTTACAGGTTATAAAAGGTACCAGTGTGTTTACTCACTAGCAGAAATTTTTCAAGTACTGGCTTCATTTTATGTTGTTTTAGTGATCTGTTATGGCCTAACTTGCACATACAGTTTGTGGTGGATGTTGAGAAGTTCACTTAAGCAATATTCTTTTGAGAAGTTAAGAGAGAAGAGTAATTACAGTGATATTCCAGATGTAAAGAATGACTTCGCATTTATTCTTCACCTGGCAGATCAATATGATCCTCTTTATTCACAACGGTTCTCAATATTCCTATCTGATTTGAGTGAAAACAAACTGAAGCAGATTAATCTTAACAATGAATGGTCAGCAGAAAAACTGAAAAATAAACTAATAAGAAATTCCCAGGACAAAATTGAACTTCAGCTTTTCATGTTAAATGGGCTTCCTGACAGTGTCTTTGAACTGACTGAAATAGAAGTTTTAAGTTTGGAACTTATTCCGGAGGCCAAGCTTCCTTCAGCAGTGAGTCAGCTACTCAATCTCAAAGAACTTAACATTTATCATTCTACATTAACTCTGGATTACCCGGCACTAAGTTTTCTAGAAGAAAATCTGAAAACATTACGTCTAAAATCCAGTGAAATAGGAAGGATTCCACTTTGGGTCTTTCATCTAAAAAAACTGAAGGAATTGTGTTTAACAGGATGTTTTATGTTGGATCATCAAAACACTATATACAATGAAGGTTTTCAAGAGCTAAAGAATCTGAGATCTATTCATTTAAGAAACAACCTTTCCCGTATACCTCAGGTGGTTACAGACCACTTGCCTTCTCTGCAAAACTTATCTATCAACAATGAGGGAAATAAACTTATAGTTCTAAATAACTTAAAAAAGTTGGTAAATTTGAGAACCTTGGAATTGATTTGTTGTGACTTAGAGCGCATTCCACATTCTATTTTCACCTTAAACAATCTGCGTGAATTAGATTTAAGAGAAAACAATCTCAGAACAGTGGAAGAAATAATTAGTTTTCAACATCTCAAGAACCTTTCTTGCTTAAAATTGTGGCACAACACTATTTCATATGTCCCAGCGCAAATTGGAGCATTATCAAACCTGGAGCAATTGTATTTAAACTACAACAACATTAAAAGTGTCCCACTGCAGCTATTTCTCTGTAAAAAGTTATACTATTTGGATCTTAGCTATAACAAACTCACCTCCATTCCTGAAGAAATCAAATATTTGACAAATTTGCAGTACTTTGCTCTGACAAAAAACCATGTAAGTAGAACTTTTTAAAATTACTTTCTTAAACATTAGATATTTCCATTTAACCTACCCTGTTTTCCTGGGTGACATTTTGGCTTCCTGAGGTTTTCCAGCTTTATCAAATTGTGGTTAAAAGCTTTTTGGTCCAGGAACAATGTGATCATATTTAGCTGATGTTAGGCTGAATGTGTCTTAATCTGATTTAAAGGCTAGGGACAGACATTACACACAAATTGGTCTCAAGTGATCAGAAACTGGTTTAAACCTGTAACAGAACAGATGTTCAGTGCACATAAACCAGTTTGAAAATGGCTGAAACCAGTTTGAGATAAACCTCGTTGAATGTAGTATCAGACTTTACTGATTTGGCTCAAACTAGTTTATGCAGTGTCTGTCCCAGACCCCTTTCTGGCTTAAGGTAAACCAGACTCTTCCAGCATCCTGGCATGCTCTCTGAGCTGGTTGGGGCTCTCTGTTCCACAGTAGGGCTGGTCCCCCCCCTTCTGTTCCTTGGCTGCAGCTCTTGCAGAGACCTGCAGACACAGCAGCATCTACCTGGCTTCCTCCTGCTCTCCCCTTCCCCTCACCACTCCCTGCTAAGCAGTAGATGTGTGTGAAACAGACCGTATTCGATTCGGATTTGGCCCGAATCAGGGACAGTGATTCAGTTAATTGATTTGGATCAATGTCTCTGATTCAATTTGGCTGAATCCCAATCTGAAGATTCAATACTTAATCAGAGAATCAGTGATTCAGCCATAGACACACCTTTAAATGATTTTTCTATGTACCTTGAGGTACCAGGCATGGCTTATGAATGCTGCAATGCTGGGGTGGATGGAGCATCCCACAGGAGTATGGGTGGGCCCCCCACATGCTCAGTGGCAAACCCAGAAGTGGACCAGAAGTACTTCTAGTCCACTTCCAGGACTGCTGGGGAGTGTGCTGGGGGCCCCCCTGTGCACCCCTGGCTTGGTGATTTGGATGTGGGGGGACCCTGGGTGCCTCCCCAGACCCAGGAGGCACCAGTCACTGAGCTGGGTCCACTTTCCATGCGCTCCTGTGGGATGGTCCATCTGCCCCACCATCGCAGCATTCACAAGCCGCCTGGTACCCTGAGGTATATAGAAAAAACGTTTAAAGCTGTGTCTATGGCTGAATTGCCGAATCTCTCCAAATAGATTAGGAGGGTTCTGATTCAATTCAGACAGATTAAAGGGTCTCCTGACTGAATCTCTGAATCTGAATTCAGCCATGGAATCTGGCTGAATCTCCACCAAATCAAATCGGGGACCGAAGCTTCGCACAGCCCTACTAAGCAGGGACCCCTCATCCCCTCTGCCTTACACAGACACCTCAGCATTAGCTAGCAGACCACATGCTGACTACATTTCCATGCTGTGGCAGACAGCAGGGCTTTTTGGAGCTAATCAACAGCTCAGCTGATTTAATGTCCCTCCCTTCCTTCATTGTTTAAGAAGAGCTTGAACTAATGAGAGAGGCTGTTTGTTTTATGATGGGATGATAACGGCTGATAATAGAGTTGATCAAAGCTCTGTTATCAAGGAGGGGGAGAACCCCTCCCTAATCCTGCAGGGGCCTGGCCACGATCCCCTCAGCTCAGCCCTGTGGAACGGAAGGGAGGGCTGCTCTAGAGCCCCCTGTCTTCTAGCCTGAGCCACTGCAAGCATGTACCTGAATGTCTGGGATGTCTGTGCAGTTGCAAAGTGATTTAGCCTAGCCAGATCAGACGAACCTGCAAAGATTGAATTAATTCAGGCTCAGGCTTTTTTAATGTCTGTTTCTAGCCAACATGATTGCAAAATTGAATTGTCTAATCTAACCTGATACCTCACCACTGCATTTTAACAGTGCTAAAATATTTATAGTACAGAGCAGTGTATCCACTATACTATTGGGATGTCACTTTGCTTTTCCTAGCAGACGGACAGTGTAATAAAGCTTAAAACGTGCTAAAGACTTTACACAGGATCTCTTTAGATGTATGAATTTTGCTAAGCAGGACTCCTGAAAAGGCAATAAAACATAAGGCAGAAAAACAAGCTAACTATGCCAGCAATTTGACTGTGTTGGAGGGCCGTACCCAGAGAGTGGTGGTGGATGGGTCATTT